GGAGGGAGGGAGGGAGGGAGGGAGAGCCGGCCTGAAGATTCCCAGGCAGCCAGGCGGGCAGGCGGAGGCCGGGGCTGCGGAGGAGCGGCGTCTGGAGGGGGGGGGTGCCTCGCCCCCCGCCCCCCACCTGCGCCCCCCGGTCCTCTCCGCTCGGCGGGCGCACAAAGGGGAGGGGAGGGGAAGGGAGAGGGCCGCGCCCGGCAGGCGAGAGGGGGGCCTGGGCACGGGTCTCTTTTTCTCTCCGCCCCCCTCCTCCCTGTGTGGGCGGAAGACTTGGGGACGCCCCCCTCCTCCCTGTGTGTGGACCCCCCCTGCCCCCTCCGCGGTCCCGACCCGAAGGCCGCCAGCCGGCGCTCCGCCTCTCCACCGAGGAAGCCCCTGCCCGGACTGGGACCCGGCCGAGACGCCGGGCCGGCCGGGAGGGAGGGCGGCCTTCCTCGGCAGGGACTAGCCGCTTGGTCGGAGGGGCTCCCTGGTGGCCGCTCGCTCAGAGACCGTGCTTTGGGCCGGGCCTCCCTCCCCCGGGTCCCTTCCCCTCGGACAGGCCTTGGCCAGACTTGGCTCCTGGGCGCAGCGGCGACGCTTCCGAGGGGCCGGCTGATGATGCCCGCCGCCGCCGCCGCCGCGCCCTGCGAGGTAGACTTCGGGGAGAGGGCGGCCTGAAGCAGCGAGGCCGGAGATGGGCAGCCCCGAGCGCGCGGGGGGGTCCCACTCCGTCTGGGCCCATCCTTTCCAAAACCCCCCCCCAGATATTTCCGAAGGCTCTGAGTCTCCCTGAGACTCGGCCCCCGGGACGCGCTACTTATTCGGCATAATTCGGTATATTTCAAAATCCCGCCCTTCTTCCAGTGCCCCAGCCAACAGGCATGCATCCTCCTCGTCCGGTATCCCTTGTCTCCTCACAACAACAACACCCCTGTGTGGTCGGCCCGTCTGACAGAGAGTGACTGGCCCGAGGCCACCCAGCGGCAATCGACAGGGCCTTTCCCAGAAGGGGAAGAAAAGAGGCGAGGCCCCTCTCCCCGGCAGGAGTTCTACTCGCCAAGATAATTCACTGCCAGGTTTGGTTGCCACCTGGAGGAGAATCTCTTGTCCCTTTAACAGGAGCTTTTGGGGGGGGTACCATTTCCCAGGGGACTGTGGTTCGTACTATTGTGCAGAGTTTGCTGTGGGTCGGATCCTGTTGTGTAATTTCGCGTCAACATGCTTCAGGTTCTGTTTTTCAGTCTTTCCGGACTCCTGGTTGGTCCTCCAACCCTAACCCTATGGCGCTGTTTATTGAGCGTCCCACCCTGTGGGTTGTATTGACTCATTCTGTGTAATCCGCCTTGAGTCCCATTGAGAAAGGTGGGCTATAAATAAAGTATATAGATAATTATTTTATTGTTGATTATAGGGCAGAGTTACACACACTGGAAGCATATATAATGATATAAAACATGTAATAAGATGATACAACAGGGATGCAGACCGACTGGGCACTCCCCCTAAAGACTAATATCTAGATTTTCAATCCACTCAGTCAGAGCTGGGGAGACCAGACAGACAGACAGATCCAGGTGGCCAGCCATGTTCGTCTGAAGCAGTAGAACAAATGTTGAGTCCAGTGGCACCTTTAAGACCAACAAAGTGTCATTCAAGATACAAGCTTTCCTGTGCAAGCACACTTCTCCAGATACAGTGGAGTGGAAGGTGACAGTTCAAGCTTATAGACAGGCGGAACAGCCAATGAGCATGTAACATGATGATGCTTTAAGATATGCAAAGACAAAACTAAATAACAAGCTAAGGTCAACAGTTGTTTTGATTTCATTAAGTGAGCAAAACCGATAGATGATAGATAGATGATAGATAGATAGATAGATAGATAGATAGATAGATAGATAGATAGATATTGATCGATGGATCATGGATGGGTGGTAGATAGAAGAAGAAGAGTGTTGGGATGCTTTGATTCAGGGTTGATGGTTGTATTGCAAACACAAGAGCACACACTTAGTAAAAGAAAAATTATCTTTACTATAAAACAAAATAAAACATGGGTATGGTACTTAGGATAAAAGAAATAAAATAAAAGGTTACATGCTTGCAGTTACTCTCAGTAATATATGCTAACAACTACATCTTGCTATCTGTCTTGGCTTCTAGAAGAGAACTACCTCTTTGGTTCACACAAAGGGCCATAAACCTTGTGAATACATTAATGCTAGATCAAAGCATTTCCACAAACAAGTTGTTAGTGGACCAATGCAAAGGTTACAGGCCACTTCATTAGGAAAAACAACCCCCACAAACTTCCCCGCCGTTGAATACATTATGTAACACGTAACATCCTGTTTCCTAACAAACAACATTTAACTCTGTGATGACTGAAGTGTAAGCAACTTGCAATTCCAACAAAGAGAGAAGAGATTGGATTTATACCCTGCCCTTCACTTGGAGTCTCAGAGCGGCTTACAGACTCCTCTCCCTTCCCCTCCCCACAACAGACACCCTGGGAGGCGGGTGGGGCTGAGAGAGCTCTGACAACAACTGCTCTTTTTCAAGAACAGTTCTGAGAGAACTATGGCTTGCCCAAGGTCATCCAGCATCTGCGAGTGGAGGAGTGGGGAATCAAACCCCGCTCTCCCAGATTAGAGACCCCCCCAGCATTTAACCACTACACCAAAATGGCTAGATAGGTAGATGGATGGATGGATGGATGGATAGATAGATAGATAGATAGATAGATAGATAGATAGATATATTAGATAAATAGATTAGATAAATAGATTAGATAGATATGGATGGAAGGATGGACGCTTCCCCAGCCCATTTCCATCCGGGACATTTTCCTCCAGGTCAGTTGGCAACATGTGTTATAACAGAGCTGCGCATGCCCCCCCTTTAAGGATCACAGTTTTACACCGACAGGCCGGATCCTAAACAGGCTGGGCCCCCAACCCTGAGCTCGAGGCCTGGGCACCCGGGGACTCCTTCCTTCCATCCAGAGCCAAGGATCGGCCGGGGGTCTCGCGGAAGATGACCCCTGAAAGGGGCAGCGACGTTGCCTGGATCGTGCCCTGCAAGAGTGCTGGGAAGCAAACCCCGCGCCGCCCTCAGTGGGAACCCGCTGCCCGGAGGAGCAGGATCGTGGCCTGATCTCAATAGCCTTGTTGCGCCTTTACTCCGAAGTAATTGTCACCCGCGCGCTGACCCTGGAGAGGCTGGCCCGCTGGCCGCCATCCCCAGGGCGGCTTAAGTGGTCCTGGATCGAGCTGCTGCTGCTCTCCCAACAGGCCCTCCCTCCCCCTCCCCCCCAGTGCAATTTCCAGTTTTCATTTGAGAGATGGACAAGAGTCACAGAAGAAGGTCAAAGGCCTGGCGGAGGGGGGGGAGAATGGGGGAAGTTCACCCCTCCGCCGCCCTGCATTTCAAAGCCCTTCGCCAGAGTTCCTTCTTGAATCACTCTGAAATCTGCATTCGCCCCCATGCCCCGGGAGTATGTGTGTGTGTGTGTGTGTGTGTGGGTGGGAGAGCATAAATTAACCCCATTTATTTATGGCTTTAGTATACATTCTAGGCCGCCTCTTTCGACTTCCTGCCCCCCCAGGCGGCTTGCCAAGAAAACCCACCCTGTTTAGTAGGCACGTCGATGCGCTTCGCGGCAGAAGCGCACCCTTCCCTGTCCGATTCTTACGCGCAAGTAAGGCCCATAGAGGAGGGGGGGCGCCGCAATAACTTTGCTCCCTTGCAAACTTTGGGACTGGCAAATTGGGTGCTCCCTCTAAGCTGAGTTAGCGTGAGCTAGCTCACAGCATTTCAGCCTCTGGCTCGCACTTTCTGGTCTGAGCTCAGGAAGGATTGGCTCGGGAGCAAGCCTATCGACGCAGGAGCCAGATCCCTCGCTCGGAACTTGAATGCCAGCAGCTCACCAAGTAGATTTTTTTTCTCCCATGACTCCACAGCTTAGAAGGAGCATTGGCCTGGCCCCCATCACAGCCCCCCCCCCGGCCCCCAATTCCTTGCATCCGTCTATTCCCGGGGTTCCCTTTTGCAACCGGCCCGTGCCGCCCCCTTGGCAGAAGGAACGGCTTCGAGAGGAGGGCAGGTTGTTCCTCTGGAAGGTCTAAAGCCGGAGGAGGCTGCGCAGATGCTGCCTTTGTTTAAAGAGACAGTAATTAAGGGCGGGGAGGGAGGGGGACACATACACACACACACACACACACACACAAGTTTGAAAAGCGTGACCTATTTTCTTTTGATCAGCTGTCAAAGGAAGA